ATTTAGGGGATGCAAGCAGTCTGCAGAAATCGTTATCCAACATCAAGCAATTTAGGCATAATATATTACAAATTTTAGATTTTAAACAAGATATGCAAGAATAATTCCAGTTATGATGAAACAAACACTCAAACTCTAACTTTGGAACAATTATTTTTCCCCTAAATTGACTTGTTTTTCCACAATGTAAAAAAATCACTCTTTCAACCAGTTGTTAAACTTAGAAAATCATTTGAAGACTACGGTAATTCAATTTACCAACGGGCTTTTGCCATTACAAATTTCCAGCTTCTACAAATTTTCTTCCTAAGATATTCTCAAAGTGTAACTGATGCACTTTTGATATTTCTAACTTTTCTGAAACTTTACATCTTTATTAATTATTTTTCAATTGCACAAATAATCTTAACGCTTTTACTTAAGATTTATGTTCTGCAGTTAAGAAACTGAAAGCAGGTTCATTGTCAGGTGAAATAGCACTAACTAATGGGAGCATTGAAAACAATCTGTGGAAGACTGTAACTGAATGATTGCATTCAGAGTGAAATCTAGTTTGGCAAAACTCTAATACTGAGACAATATCCGGAACATGTGCAGAATTAAGGAGAGGGTAAATGGAAGAATACATAGTATAATTTTTAAGTAGTAATGGGGAACAGGAGGATTCTTTATTTTGCTCTTCAACAAAACTAACTAAAAACTAGTTTTTAAATCATTATCAAGTACTAAAGGCCAGACTGCTACATAACCCTGGCTTCAGTAAAACTTGTTTAATAGCAAAATGTAATTGCAGAGATAATTTTTGTCAAGTGTCTCAGTGCAATCATCTGCAATTCTTTGAGTAAGCAATAGAAAAAAGATGAAATTTAATCCTTATCAATTTAGAATTATTTCCCGCTTCGTAAAATATTCATATATTTTTTTAAAACTCAAGAAAACCCTATGTTTGGTTATAAAACTATTCAGGGATTAATTCTGCAGTTATATTTACCTCATCTCATGAGCTACACACAACTTAACTGTGCATTTTACACATAATACATCAAAAGCAAATAATTCAAGCTATAATTAAAAATTCTGCTGCTACCACACACGTGTGTTTTTTTTGTGGGGGGGGGGGGTCTTGGATGTGGCTAGATTCAAAATTAACATCGCCAAATGTCTATGGTGAATGTTCCTCAATTTCAATCCTTAATATGATTCAGAATATACAAATTCAATATCATTTTAATGTTAAACTGATGAACACCAAAATTTGTGCAAATTTAATTTGCTTTTAAAAATGAGATATCTAGAATAGAAAGTGATGCAATGTTTGATGATTCTGAATATCTCTCCATTTAATACCGTCAAAGAAGAATTCACACTGATATGCTATGCTTAGGTGTGCCTAACAGAGTTAAGGATTCAGGTACACTGATGAGATAGAAGCAAGGAAGTTTATAATATCTGACAGTAATCTTCATGCTATCAAAGAGTAGGCATTGTGGAAAAATATTCCACATTCCCAGAATCAGCACTCTATGACATGCAAAAAGAAAACTAAGCCACTAACTTCTAAAAATATTGTGCTAGACTCAATTTAAATGTGCTGAGAATACCAAATGTCGTTGTGTCCATATCAGTCTGAAATATTTGTATAAAAGCAAACTATATGTCTATATTTCTCAGTCTCCACTTGATGTATAGTGATTTGAAACAAAAACAGAAATTGCTGGAGAAACTGGAGTCTGACAGCATCTGTGGGAAGAAAGCACAGTTACTATTTCAAGCCCAGTGACTCTTCATCGGTTATGAGTTCTGAAGAATCATCACTGGACTCAAAACATTAATTTTGCCTTCTTCCCACAGATGCTGTCAGACCGAGTTTCTCCAGCAATTTCTGTTTTAGTTTAAGATCTCCACATCTGCAGTTCTTTGTTCTTTTATTGCAATTTCAAGACCAGTACGTGGGCATATTAAACACAACAGAAACAATCATTTTCATCCTACAAATATTCAATTCAAGTCCACTGCCCTAGTGGAAAGTACACACAGATCACTACCATAATATGTAAATAAACTTATTTTCTAATTTGTAGCTCTTGAATTTCAAACAAGAAAAATGAAGTCAGTCAAGCCATTTTGAGGAAAATAATTTTGGTGTATTCAATATTTAAAGCAAAACAGCAGTGGCATGAGTCACCACAAAGTTTAATATCTTGAAGGAAAACACATCTGGAATTATTATTCATGGCATCCAAACATTGAGATATAATTATTTTCAGATGATACTGCAGGCTGTCAGTTCCTCTCTCCACAGATACTACTTGACCTGCCAAGTATTTACAGCATTTTTTACTTGTGTTATGGGAAAATTCAGTACTGGTAGTTTTCAGCTATGTACCAAGTAATATGGGGGATAAACTGGCACAGAGGAAAATATTCGTCTAAAGCTATTTCAAAACACAAATTCCTTGACACTGGGCGTACTTGGAAATATTTCATGTCAAAAGTTGAAGTTGTCAAGGTCCTTGTGTTTCTTCCAATTCCTAAGGAAAATATAGTGTTTAAGTCATTCACTGTGCACAAAACAACCTTAAGAAGATTGAAAACAACACATTTTGAGAACAGTATATTTTTATTTCTTTCTTAAAGTAACCATGTTTTTGTTGCTCTAAATTGCTGGAAGTGCGTTTAAAAACATGTCACAAAGAAAGATGGTCGACTGCTCCTGGTAAAACCTTCAGTGGCAACTTCACATTTTTATTGGTACCAAGTTCAGACAACTGCAGCATGGGGCAGTTTGGGGAAACATTAGCTGCCATCGAACAGTGTTTCTGTTGTCACTTATTAGAATCATTATGTCTACGCGCATGGCTTACTATCAACTAGGAATGGTGGGTTGAATATTGCTCAGGATACACCAAAATCCAAGAGATTTCTATCATGTGTACCAAAGACATTATACAGTCCAAGAAACAGGAGAAGCCTATGGTAATAGCACTGAAGCAGATTTTCACATAAAGGGAATTGGAGACACTTCAGATTTGATTACTGGTGCTACAATTAGTGTAAAATCTCCCTGCAAGAAATTAACGTAAACCCAGCATCATGAAGCCTCTGGCAAACTCTGAATAGACGAGTTTAGGCCATACAAAATAAATCCTTAAAAAAACTAATTTTTTGGTCCCCACCTCTTTCTAGAGTTTTTGATAGTACCTGAATAGCAACAAAGTCAAGTGTGAAATTAAGAAGTATTCTATCGTCAAGAGATATTAAATACATATCCTCCAACACTATTCTTCACAAATCCTAAGACTTCAGACCTGTTCGTTGACTTTTGCATGGGATGGTCCTTGATGAATAAGAAGTCTGACTATATGTGAATCTCCTTTCCAAGCAGCAAGATGAAGTGGATAACACCCCTTGTTATCTGCAATGTTAGTGGAAGCTTCATTCTTCAGTAGCATTTCAACAACTTCCCTATGAATAAAAGAAGACACATAATTATTTTTGTTTAAGACGTGTTATGAAATTCTCTAGTACTTATTGAAATCATGTAAATCATTACCAAGTGCCTGGTTTACAAACATTTTTAAATCACAATAATTAAATGTTTGCTGCATAGTCCAAAGTAACTTCTGTTAAGAATATGTCAAGCTTCAAGCAATTTATTTTTATTGACACCAAATAGCATGCATTGTCCACTGGCAAAAAAGGTGGGTGAAATTGTTAACCATGACTAGATTGTACTCAGGAGGTAAAACAAAAAAATCTCACAGTAAGACCTGTTAAAGTCTATCAGAATTGAGACAGGATTCATCTTGGTGGGAAGAACTTGGAGACACAATATAAAGTGTATAACTCTAAAGAGAGTACAGGACCAGAGGATCCTGGGTGTGTTTTTGCAGAAGTCACTAATGGCCAGATAGGTTAACAGGGCAGTTAATATACAGAGCATTGAGCTTTCTTAACAGATGCATACATAACAAATGAAATGAGGTTATGTTAAACTTGAATGGAACACTGTTTCAGCATCAAATGACGTAGTATCCAGTTCTGGTGTGCCACTCTTCAGGAAAGACATGAAGGCCTTAAAGAGGGCGGAGAAAAGATTAAATGGCAATGGTGCCAGAATTGCGAAACTTCAGTTACATAGGTTGAGTGTGGATCAGATAAAAGATACACAAAAATCATGAGGGGTCTGGACAGAGTACTTAGTGATCGGGAATGCACACAAGTGTGTGGCGTGGAGGCAAGTCCAAGTGTTCATGAGAGAATTGGATTATTATCTAAAAATCACATAAAAAGGGCTATAGGGGGAAGATCAGGTAATAGTACTAACTTAATTGCTCCTTCAGAGAACCAGTGTAGACATGACAGACGAAATGGCCTCCCTTCTGTAATCTGCAACGCAATCTCCTGGGCCTCAAACATTTGTAATAATCCAGTCATCCAAGTTGGCATACAAGGCAGAAGTAGACAATGTAACCCCTCAAGCCTATCCCACCATTTGATTAGATCACAACTGATCTTTATTTCAGCTCAAAATTTCCTGCGAGCAACCATACTCTGAAGAATTCCAATTGATCCAGCATCCATGGCTTCCTGAATAAATAAGCCCCAGATTTCCATCATTTGTGGAGGAAATAAATCCTTCTCATTTCAGTTCTTCTTTCAGCTTGCCCATTACACTCATGATTGCCAAAATGCTGGTTGATCATCCTTTTCCTCATTCCCTGATCAGTCATACATTCCTCTTTCAATCGAGTCAAGATGTAATGGCAAAAGACAACTGGTCTTAGGTCTTCCTCTTTTCGTATTTCTTGGTAGTTCTACCTTCATCACTCACTTCACCATATTTCTTTCCCCTTCCATAGATGATCATACTATTTAATTCGCTTCTCAGCTACTTTGTTCAATGCTCCCACAATCATCACTAATTTCCTGGTGTGTTGGCTTCCTGATCTTGTCGATCCTTGTTACTCTATATATCCATTTAAGCATTCAAAACTGACAGTATAGTATGATTTTTCCCCTTTATTCAAGAGGATAAGAGTTTATCCTATGTAATCTCTCAAACGCATCTTCAATTTTAAAGAACTCGCTTATGTCAACCCTCAATTCATTATACCCCAAGCTCCTTTGTGCTCGGGAGTACAAACCAAAATTACTCAACCAGCCTTCGTAATTTAACCATTTAAAACCCAACAGCATTCTAGTGAATCTGCACTATTTACCCCGAAGGTTAACATATCTTTCCTGATATTCCGCTAAGTTTTGATGAAAGATGAACAACCTTAAATGTCAACTTTTCCTCTACAGATGTGGTCTGATATAAATGTTAACAATACTTCTTGTTTTTATATTTTGATTTTTTTTGTCTAAAGTGAAACACAGACCTCCAGATGGGGTCTGATCAAGACGTGTTGCAAATGCATTCCAACATACTTGAGATAAAGGACAATATTACATTAGCCTTTATTTATTTTGGCTCATTTTCAGTGAAATGCAAACAGACACCTAAATTCCTCATCTCCGTTACTGCCAAGAATTTCTCAGGTCCTAAATCATCACAACCTCAAAGAAAATGCAAGTGCAAGTTTTGGCCTAAGACAACAGGTTGCCACTCCAGTGAAATCAAATATCTTGTCTACAAGCATCTCGCTTACCTTTGTCCATTAAGAGCAGCATGGTGCAGTGGAGTGTAACCCGAGGTGTCAACACAGTTAACATTTGGCCCTCTCCAAATGCTGAAAAATAGAAAAAAAGCAATTAATATTTTCTCAAATATTATTCTGACTCTCTCTCAAAAATTAAGACAATGCTCAAAATAGCTGTCCCAAAAGACCAAACTGATTTTTAAAACATCTTTCTACCAAAAATAATTCTGCAGATTTACACGCTAGGAAAGGGAAAAAAAAACTGCCTGTCAGCACTTGTCGAGGTTCACCAGTCTATTCCTCATAAATAATGGCACTATGTAGCTATACACAGGAAAAAGGCAGATCTCCATTAAGAATTTTTTGCCCACTAACTTGACAACGACTGTTACATTGAAAGAGAGTATTTCTTTGGATACCACGGTTTTTGCTCAAGAGGAATTTTGTTCATTAAGAGATAATCTGTCATCTCAAATATTCTAGATCTTCAAATGCTGCACAATGAGGAGAATTAAATAAAAACACAAAACTAAGTTCAGGACACACAAATTTCATTTACATAGAATATTTTTAACTTAGTAAAACTTCATAACATTGTTAAGCATCAAGCTACAGGAGATAGCAAAAAGTGTCAGGGACAAGTTTTCAGGAGTTTTCTTGAAGAGAAAAAGAGGCTGAGGCACTGGATCAAAGTTTGGACTAACTAACTGAATGTGTAAAGACTGCATCTTGTTATTGTAGTGCTTTTTAAAGTGGTGGACTTAACGGAGAACTGTTTTGAAACCTAGGGATTCCCAAGGATGGATGCATGTTTCGAAATTTAAAAAACTGATACCTTTTGCGAACTCTGTCTGTCTAGCTGTGGATTCCATCTACGTGCTGACAATCTGGAACTGAGAGGTTATATATGTGTGAAGCTGATTGATAATTGGTCCTGCGTCAATAAGCCAAAGATCCCCTGCCTGCTAACAAGGTGATTGGTTGTCAATTAGCTGAACAGCTTGGACTGTGAACAAGACAGAGAGAAGCCATCCAAGCCAGAAGACCAGCAGGTCTGCAGCAGTCAAAAAGCTCTTCTTTTCACCAAGCTACTTTAAATCTGAAGAAAACCAGCTCATCACTCCTTCAAGAGTTGCTGTATGTTTAGGCTTTACATTGGGTAAGTCAAACCTTTCATGAGTGAAATAGCCATTCTGTATCTTGCAAACCAGTTGAAGCATTCAGATAAAGGAAAGTCATGCAGAAATCTTTGGATCAGCAAGAATTAACCCAACACATCTTTCGAAAAAAAGACATTGGAACTGCTTTCCGTCTGCACATGCATTTTTTTCCTGTTTATGTTGGTCACATGTGAGAGCAAGAGAGAGGGGGTGGGGCAGTTGCAGGGGCAGGCGCACGCAAGAGTTTAGAAAGGGGACAGAGTTTTGATTTGTAGCATTTACTTAATCAAGTCTAAGTGCTTATTCACAGCTGGAATCTAATGACCTGTAATAATGAGTGATTCCTTTTTTCTTCCGAGTACCTGATTTCTTTTCCCGCAATTTCTTTTTGTTTTTGTACTACAGACACACGCACTTTACATCAACAGTAGGAAAAATGTTAGAATCTATTCTGAAGAATAGGGTAAATAGACGTCTGGTTGGTAATGCTCTGACTGGACATAGCATGGATTTGTGAATGGGAATTTGACAAACTTGGAGGTTTTTTTGAAGATGTTACTAACAAAATTGATAAAGGACAGCCAATGGACTTCGTGCAAATGCCTGGATTTTAGACCACTTTTGATGAAGTCCCCCAGAGGAAGTTGGTTAGAAACGTTACACTAAAACACATAGGATAGGATGTAATGTATCAGCATGGATTAATGATTGGAGAGCAGACAGAAAGCAGTCAGAGTAAATGAGTCACTTTCAAATTGGCAGGCTGTAACAAATGGGATATCAAGGACCAGTCCAGAGCCCCAGCTGTGCTTAATTTACATCAACAATTTAAAGTTGGTGTCCAAATGTGACACAGTGAGCATTTTATTAAATGGCACCTGTGGGACCAGGTGTGTACTCATTGATCAAATATCAAGACGTTGATCAAGAGGTCCACATAATTAATTAAAAAAAACACACATTAACTGATATAAATGTAATGCAGGGGGTATCACTGTTATACTTTATTAACAGCATAAATCACTTAACAATGCAGCATCGCCTCAAATAAAACTTAGCAGCAGAACAGCCTTCTCACTCTCATCCTCAAACGACTATTTGGACATGTCAGTAATTTTTGCTGGCTTATCGAAAATGCCGATTCATAAGGTGCCAGTTAAAACAAAGTTGGCTGTATTTCCAAATGATGCAAAGTTAAGTGGGGAATGTGTGTTGAGGAAGATGAAAAGTGGTTTCAGGAAGATTTTGACAGTCTTAGTGAATGGATAACAGGGCAGATGAAATACATGCGGAAAGTGAGAAGTTATCCATGTTAGTAAGAGAAACGAGTGCATTTTTAAAATGGTAAGAGATCGAAAAGTTAGATAGAAGGATAGAATCAGAGTTTTACAGTACAGAGGAAGGCCATTCCACCCAGTGTCTTTGCAAGTTCTTTGAAAGAGCTATCCAGCTAGTCCCATTCTCAAGCCTCACCTCCATATTCATTGCTTTCAAATATATATCCAGCTCTCTTTTCAAACTTTGTATAGAGTCTGCCTCCACCGCTTTCCCAAGCAGCGCATTTCAAATCCTAACAGTTCTGAGTAAAGAAGTTTATCCTCATCCCACTCCTAGCTCTCTTGCTCAGTAGCTTGAAATTGTGACCCCGAGTTACTGATATGCCAACTAGTGGCAACAGAATATCCTTTACCCTGTCAAAATTGTTCATCATATTGAGCACCTCAATAAGGTCACCTCTTAATCTTCGGTGCTCCAAGGAAAATAAGCACCATTATTTTAATCTTGCCTTGTATCTAAAAATCCCTCATTCCTGGCACCATTCCAGTAAATCTCCTTTGCACACTCTCCAGGCATTCAACATCCTTCCTGAAATAAGGCACCCAGAACTGAACACAGTACTCCAAATATGGGATGACCAATGATTTGTAGATGTATTGCATCAGTTTCTTCCTTTTATAGTCTATGCTCTATTTTTAAACCCAAGGAACCTACAAGCCTTCTTAACCACTATTTCAACATGTCTGAACACCTTCAGAGAATTATGCACACAAACCCGGAGGTCCCTTTGCTCTTGTACTTCCCTCAAAGTTGTAGCATTCAGTCTGCATTGTCTCTCCATGTTTCTTCTACCAAAATGCATTACCTCACATTTCTCCGCATTAAATTCATCTGCAAGGTACCTGCCCAATTAGCCAACTTGTCAATGTCCCTCTGAAGTCACTCAGCATCATCCTCACAATTCACCACTGTCTGCAAATGTAGAGCTTTTGCCCTCAACAAATAAAAATCAAAAGCAGCAAGAGTCCCAACACTGGTGCCTAGGGAATACTACTTTCAACTCATCACCAATCCAAAAAAAATGCCCATCTACACCTACCCTCTTTCCTATCTTTTAGCCAAATTCTAATCCACACTGCCAAGGAACCATCAATTCTAAACATTTCTAATTTTCCAACCAACCTGCCACATGGCACTGTATTAAATAAACACCTAAAGTCCAAATATACTACATCCCCTGCACTATCCTCACTCACTGTCTGTGCCACTCCAAACAATTCAATCAAGATTGACAGAATGACCTGCCTTTGACAAAGCCATGTTGACTGTCAACTTAGATAACAAGGTGTAGAGCTGGATGAACACAGCAGGCCAAGCAGCATCAGAGGAGCAGGAAGGCTGATGTTTCGGGCCTAGACCCTTCTTCAGAATTCTTCTGTCAACTTATTTTTCTCTAGGTGTATATTTACCTTACCCCATATTATGGCCTCCAGTTTTCCTACCACTGACATCAAGCTGACAGGTTTGCAGTATCCTGGGTTATCCTTTGCCCCTTTCTTATGTAAGTGTCACATCTGCAATCCTCCAGTCACCTGGGACTAATTCTGTCTTCAGACAGGCCTGGAAAATGTCTGTCAAGAGCCGCAATTTGCTCACTTAACTCTGTCAGCAATCTAGGATGCATCCCAGCCAGTCATGGCGACTTCACTACCTGGAATGCTGCCAGTCTTTTTAGCGCCTCTTCTTTATCTATTATTATACTGTTCAGTTCCTCAACACCCACATTTTCAACAGGGCACTGTCAACTCTTCCTAATTTGGTAAAGGCAAAAGCCAAGTACTTGTTTAGTACCAACGCCGTATCTTTTGCTTCAGTGAGCAGCTTACTCTTTTTGTTCCTTTTTGGTCCCCCTATCCTTCATTAATCTTTTACTATTTGTTTTAGCACAGCCTGCCATCCTTTCCTCATGCTTCCTCTTAGTCTTCATTATCCAGCCTTAGCCTTTCTCCTACATTTGAGATACTCTTGTACAAAAGGGACCAAGGTGTCCTCATCAATAAGCCATTGCAGGCTAACATGCAGGTAATGCAAGCAATTAGGAAGACTGCTGGAATGTTAGACTTCATTGCAAAAGGATTTGAGTATGGGGTGCTGAAGTCTTGCTTCAATTATTCAGGAGCATGCTTAATTTTTGTCTCCTTATCTCGGTAAAGATACCATTGTGATACAGGGAGTGTATAAAAGGTTCATGAGAGTTGATCCCAGGACAGCAGGTCTCCCTGTGAACAGAGATAGAGCAAACTTGGTCTGTATTCTCTAGAGCTGTCTTTGTGTCGTAACAATAGATAAGGGAGTGTCTATGAGATGTTCTTCTAGTAGACTTCCAGAAAGGTTTTGGAGTAGATTTGTAGCTCGGGTTGTGGATGTTGTGGTTGGTTGGCTCGCCAAGCTGGTTCGTTGTTTTTCCGCAGATGTTTCATTGCCCTGCTGGGTAACATAGTCAGTGCAGCCTCCGACGAAGCGCTGTTGTGTTTTCCCGCCTGTTATTTGAATTCTGGAGTCCGTTGAGCTGGATTACCTCACTTCCGGTTTCCCTTTGCGGTGGAGTGTATATGGGGTCGAGCTCTATGTATTTGTTAATGGCTTTCTTCG